TCCGATTACGTAAGAATAGTTCCATTTGTGACAATTTTATTTTTGTAATTGTTTTAAACTGTCTTAAGTTGAGGTTAATTGAGTTGTATAAGCAATAAGCGTGAAGTATTAGACATATACCTACTTATTTGATTTGAAAGTAAATTGGTCAGAATTTCCACCACACGCCAATATTTTAATTTTCGGCTATTACAATTGTAAGTAATTGGTGCATATTCGAAAATACTCGTACCGTCGATAGTTCGAATTAATTAAACAGTAATTTGTCTTATTCTGTGTTCACCAAAAATATATATGTCATCGACCTGACGGTACTGTTTTCGTAATCCATTTGGGAGATGTTTAAAACGCTTTAAAATGTAAACTGATTCGGTCTTTTTAAGATATCAAGCAGCGACAGGGTCGGCATGCTACCATTTTACTATACGAACCGTTCAGATATCAGTTTAAGGATCTGACAGGCCAAGGGTCAGAGGACCTTTGTGAGCCCGTTCTTTCTAATTCTTGCCTCCTCGCTTTTCACCGTTTCGTTCTTTTATCTACAGCTACCGTTTTGTCCGAATCGCCCCCGCTTTTGTTTAGACTCTGACGCTGATGCGTACACACTACATACACACATGAACGATGCACGACTCGAATTCATAAAATGTGATTGTGTTTTAAACGCTTGCCGATCGTAATCTTTTCTTTCAGAACCAGTCGGAAATGGTCGCTTGTCCAGCTGCGGGTGTTCGCTTTCGCTTTTTTTAAATTCGAAACTAATTTTTTCATCACGTTCATTATTTACAAAGGGTCTCAAAATGAATTGCCATTAAAAAAATATCAATATAAATATTATCGTCCCTGTTACAGTTTAAAACATTATTTTTGTCATTTGAAATTCTGCTAATTTTATCAAACTGTTACTTGGCTCATTAGTACCAATTTCACTGACTCAATTACTGTTTTTCGGTAAATGTCCAGATGATGACCCCGAAGGGGGTGGGGGTGAGTGGGATCGAAAGAGGAGGTCTCCCCTACCACTGTACCATAAAAAGTTCGTGGCGGTCTCACCCCCATAAAAAGTTATGAGGGTTGAAAGTTGATTATTTTGTCAATTTTCATACACTATAATTCAAATAAAATTCAATAAAAAAATTATTTTCAAGCGGGTGGAGGTGGGGGATCGAAAGAGGGTGGTCACTTGAACAAAACCCGATAACCTAACCTAACCTACCCTATTGATAAAGATATTTAAATAATGTTTTATATAACTTTCTCAATATTTTTATGTATTTTTCATTAGTTTTACCTTTGAATGTTGTTTAAGAATGACTATATAAATATTTACATGCCTAGAAATGTATAAAAATTGGCATATTTATTAACTTTGAACCCGCATAACTTTCTATGGGGGTGAGACCGCCACCAACTTTTTCTGGTACAGTGGTGGGGGAGACCTCCTCTTTCGATCCCCCCCACATCTAGACCTTTACCCTATTTTAAATAAAGCAATTAGTTCAGTTATTAGCCACTAATTGAAAATTACTGAAAATTCATTGATTTGTTTTTGAGAGTACCTATTTTTGAAGTGAAACTTCTTTACGCACGGTAGAGTTAGTTTGTTTCATGCGAGTTGCTATGTAACGAAATCATGCAACGGATGTCCCCCTCTACTAGGCCACGTAGTCGAATTCGTAGTGGGAATCGCTTGAGCCGTGAGCGCACTTCAATGCAACGTTCGTTACAGTCAACTCCGGCATGTATAGTGTAAAATTTAAATTCATAATGTCCAAATAATACCATTAAACCAATTCCTTAACCCCTATCCCGATATGTTTGTGTGTTTGAAGAAGTTTCACTTCAGTAGCGTGTTGTATAATTACACGTTGTATTTTTTTTTGTTAATAGTATAAATAAAAAAAGTATAATATATGTACTTACGTATTTATATATATAAACATAAGTAGGTACCTGCAGAGAAAAAATAGTAAACTCAACGTTAAGTTTTAATAATACACTCGAAACAAGTGGGTAAAGTTTACTGTTATCGCTAAACAAATATATGCTGTCAATATTTACAACATTTGAGGAAATGTCAATTTTATTGCATTTGCGTCTTAATCTATAAGCGGTAGAGTAGGTAGATACTTATAATGCATATAATTATTTTTATTATTTTGTACAGTCACTTCACAAATAAGTCAATTCATATCAAAAGTTTTTCATTCAAATAAGTGAAACATCCAGACAATTTTTTAGTATGTTCATTTCGCTTTTTTTCACAAAACGTAGATCAAATGTTTTATACAATCTAGATTAAATAAATTTCCCATATCAGAGTATCATTAGAGTATTAATTAAACTCTAATTTTCTTTTAATAATGACATCAAGGTTTTTAATATTATCAACCAACTCTGCTATTTGGTTATTAATCTTACAGATAACTTAATATTTGTTTGTTGTTCTGCGATAAAAATTTAATTCTTTACATTTACTCCAAATTAGTTTTAATCTACTTACGAGAGACCATTCACCGACTAAATATACACCCTTTTATACGCACACTTGACCATAAAAAATGTTTACTTTAAAATATGTCACAATGAGCATTAAGTACACTAAAGTACAGTAAACTTTAGGTTTTTAATAAAACAAAAATCATAAACCCAACAATTATTTCGGCGACTAAACCATTTTCAAAGTAAGTACCAAATGCAGATTTAGTGGAGGAAATAAAGCACTAAACCTTCGAAAAGCTGGATCGAGATGTGGCATTCTGGATATTCCTACTCAGGCTATTAATGTATTTAAGAGCGACAGCAATTTGTTACTGGCTGGTAGGTGTAACAAAAAATATGTTTTTAAAAACAAAAAATAAAATACTTTATTTTTATGCTGAGTACTCTTTTTTTTAACCTTTTAGTCGAGAAATACTTTATGTAAAGCCTGAAAAGGTGGCAACCGTAACTGTTACTGCCCCAGCGTTTGCTTAAATGATCCAAGGAAAAACCACAGAAAAATTTGGACCAGAACAGGCGGATCCAGAATCGAATCGATGTCCCCCGAATGCTAAACAATGGTGTAAATCTCTAGGTCATGTCGGTATATGATAAATTACCGATAAAACAGAAAAAAGCTCCTAAAGTGTGAGCTGTATTATCCAAATATAGGAATGAAACTATCGCTACTTAATGAGTACTTGATGCTACTAAAGTATTTATTTATTTATAACTTATTATTTTTGGGCAAAGACTAGATTTCAAAAAAAGTCGATAACCTACTTCATCTTTCAGCTATTCGTTTGTTCAGAAATGTTTGCTAAGGTCTTAAAAGGTAAAGCCCCGTGCTACTAATTACAACGGGTGTATATATACTATGTACTTTTGGAACCATTCTGTTTTTAATTGTTTTTATCCATACAGTACGTTTGTTTTCACGATTCGTTGAACGGTTTTGATTCTTCTATTAAAGCGTAACCAAAAAGAAAAAGACCGTGCAAAATACAACAAGCAATGCTTTTCAAGACGTTCATTGATGATTTGTCACATTGGTCACTATTTTCACGCTTTTTAATCGACGATTAAAGAAATAAATTGTCTACGTCGTAGTTAAAAGCCAACATGGACCTGCAGCAATACAAACGGCTAACGTAAACATACAACATCAATTAAACAACTTGTTATTCATATTATTGCCATTGCCGTCTGTAAAGATTCTTCCGGATGATAAATGAAACAGCGGCACAACATTACAAAAACACTATTTAATTGCCTGCATATAAAATAATAAGAGACGTGACTACTACATAAACTAACCATAAGCTGCAATTACCGTGAAAATAACTGAAACCAAGACAGTAGGCAACTAACACTAACAATGGATAAGCTAGAGCAGAGCCGGGCAAACTCGGCTCTTTTGACTCCCGAGTGCTCCTCAAGGTTAACCAAGTAGCTCCTCATTGATCCTGCGAGGGCAAACTCGGCTCTTTTGACTCCCGAGTGCTCCTCAAGGTTAACCAAGTAGCTCCTCGTTCTTTCCTTTTCTTATCCCTTCCATTTCGTAGGTGAGTCCCCTCTTTCATAGCCAAAGCCAATAGTTTTGCGAACGTAGTAACGAAAATTTTCGTAGGTATTATT